CATTCAGCTTGATTTCTTTCTTTTTTCTTTTTTTTTTTTTTTTTCCTCCCCCCTCTGACGACTGCAACAAGAGAAGTTGCAGAGGCTCTTGAGCGCTTACGTTGAGCGCAGGGTTTTGGTAACTGTGAGAGAAGCTCTCGGTTATAACAAGCAGATGAACGTTGAAGGCAGTTTCTTACAAGCCCCACTTAAGAATGCAGGCAGTGAGGGTAGAAAGTGAAGGTAACCACTTCCCACTTTGTCCAGGAAGCAGAGGCCTGCTGTCTGGGATAAAGCATGTCTGCTGTGCTATTGTGCACCCATTACCACTTTTGGATCACTGTTGGATGCATTTAAATGTCCTAACCATGTGAAAATCCTTTGGTTGTGCTGCTTAATTCCATGCTGACAAAACCGATGCTGGTTTCCACCAGTAGTTAATTCTGTCCTTTAAGCTGTAGTTGGTGGGCACATCTGTTCTCGATGTGATTCCTTTAGCTCTTGAAGAGAAGCAGCCTTTGAAGAACCACATCCAGTGGCAGTTTTGTTCTGAGCAGTTCCTGACCTGCGCTCCTCACGTTTGCTAGCACGTTTACTTGTGGCATTGCAGTGCATCCCTGTTGGAATTGTGAGGGGGGAGGTATCGCGGCAATAGCTGTTTGATGTGGGTTCCTTTCCTTTGCTGATTCAGAGTGGAGCCCCACAAATGACGGGCCCTTTACTGGCACAGCTAAGGCAGGAGCTGCTGCAGAAACTTGTCGTGAACTGTAGAGTGAATATATGCACTGAGACCAATACATAGGGCTAATGTGGAGATAAGATCCCTGGTCTATTGTTTTGAATTGCTGCATAATGAATGTTTTTAAATTATAGCTTTAAAACTGTTTTGAACTATACATATAAATTAGAATATAGCCACTGTGCAGCTTGATAAGCAGAAATGACATAAAATGACTAACCTTGTGGAAGGAAGGAAGAAGTTCACGGGACCTACCTGTATGTTGAGATTGATATAGATGGAGAAACACCTTTTTGCTGGCTTGTTTTTCAAAGCACAGCAACACAGTGTACTTGTTGGAAAAACTTACTTCCTAAATGGAGTGCATTTAACTGAAGAAAGACTCTAAATAAAGCCTGTGCTGAAACAATACCTTTATTGTTCCTTGTGCTGTGCATTTCCAGGCTGTGTTATTCTGTAGACTTCAGAGCGAGTTGCTGTTCCTCTCAACAGATGAATAAGCTTTCTGCTGTTGCTGAAGTCCCCAAAGGACACCTACCTGTCACTGTTGTTCTACTGCTGATGAGTGGAATTTTCTTAGTTTCTTTATAATCTCTCTTAATGTCTGAAAACCTTCTGTATAGCTCTGTAGATAACTCTGCTAATCTTTGAGCAGAGGATAAATAGAAGGGTAGCCTTCTGCTTGTTGTGTCTAATAAGATAACTGCTGTGCTGAGTGCCAGTGTTCTTTGCCTTGGCTTAGAAAGTTAAAACTAGCGGGTTGTGGAAGGACTGTGTCCATTCAGTCTGAAACTTGGAAGAAGCAAGAAAACACTTGCTTTATTTTTTTAGGTACGAAGCTGGGAACAGACATTCCAGTTTTATAGTCACTCTTGAATGTTGCCTTCAGTTCAGGGTGGTAATAAATGAAACTTAAAATAACCTTTATTAGTTGATTTGTCTCTGAAATTGGTTCTTATCTCTTGTTTCTGTCCCGCAGAAAAAGAATATTTGAAGAGATAATTAAAATATCGGAAATTTAGTATATTGGCTGTTCTCTATCCCTTTCAAACAAAAGCAGGGAACAGTAAGTCCTTTATTGTTACTAGTGACTAGTGTGTAAAAAAAAAAAAAAAAAAAAAAAAAGTCACTAAAGGTAATGAAACTTCTTGAAATAGTACTTATTCTGACACTTAAACTCTGACATTAAAAAAATGCCTAAAACATCCTATGTTCTTGTTTTAGTAGCAGTCCAAGAAAAAATTGCTTTCTTCTCTCACTGCTCAGGTCCTAATTTAAAGTCAGCCTTTAAACACAGGGAGTTAGAGAACTTGGGTAACTGAATTCCAGTGTTTCTGCACTGCGGCTATTAAGCGGTGGTGGCAGTTACCTACTCTCAGTGCCTATGAACTTTCCCAGATCTCTAGAGTATTTCATTTTGAGTGATATTTCCAAGTGAGTGCTGCCACATGATAATAACCTGAAATCTGTTATGAAATCTGTTTGCTAGAGAGATGCTCACTGCAGTAAATCTGTCACTGTTTGTAGTGTTATCCTCTTCCCTTCTCTTCCCGCCCCTTCCCTGGCATAACTCTGTGTAACTTAATGTTATTAAAAAAAGGGGAGGGGGGGGGTGGGGGGAGTGTGGTGAAGTAGGATTGGCTAGTATTTAAATCAAAAATTCAAGCATCCTAGAGAAGTGGTTACCAATGCTGCAGCCACCTTAATTTAGAGTTGGTCGCTTATTTCTGACCTAAATAAAAATGATGTTTTGGAATTAAACTATTTCAGAATAATTCCGTATGCCAGTACACTTTGTATTTTCCATCTGTAGCTTCTTACTTTGAGTCCTTGTAAACACCTGGGAACTTGGAAGTGGTAGTTTTGGGGGCCATGTATAAAGCATCTGCAGAAAAACACTTTATTTTTCAATCACTGCTTGGCTTCACTTTGGTGGTTTTGTGGTTACATTGTGAGGTTTGTCTTGATTTTTGCCTTTCTGCTTGCATGGTTGCTACGCGCACATCCATTCTGATGCATCTCTTGCAGTCCTTATTCCCCTTGCAGAGCAAACATGAAGTCTATACAAGAACTTAAGGAAAAGACTTGAATTTCAATATATGAGATGATATTTTTTTGTTCCCTCTATGCTGCTAGAGGAATCCTATGGCATGTTTGGCAGTACAGTTCTTCTAATTACTGCTTTGTGTTATTTGCGCATATATATATATAATTTCATATTTGCTTGTTCTTTGCTATTTTTTTTTGCTTGGCCCTGTTTCAGTGTTTCAAAGTTTAGCAAACATATTTGGTGTAGACAGTCAGGAAATTTCTGGTTTAAAGCTGTCAGCCTGACTCCCACTGAAATCGAGACTAAAATCATTTCTTCCCTGTGTGGGTAGTGGATTTCTTCCTCTTCATGCTGCTCAGGAACAGTTGAGGAGGAGAGTCAGACTGACAGGAAGAATGTAGAGAGGATTTTCATCTCGATCTCCTTTGTGTCACTGATGGGGAAAAAACAAGCCTACTCATTTGGCAGCCTGTGTGTCTAAGAGACTTCAGCATCTGCGTTAACTGGGCTTTGTTTTTTGTTGATTTAGGAACCCAGAGCTGGTCCTTTTGCAGCAGGTTTAAAAACCAGTCTACTTAGCAACTGTTGTTAGGGCAGTGCAAGCCTGGCCGGCTGCTGTCTCGGCCTCTCGTTCCAATTCTCTGAATTCCACAGGGCTGGGAGGGAAGCAGTCGGAGGGTTACTGAAAGTTGCTGGAGCATTCTGCATCCTTGCAAGTGACAGAAAAGCTGGAGAGTCCGAAACGAAAGAGAAACTGAAGTGGTCTAACCTCCCGCTTAAAGCTGGAGGAGCTTGGGAGCTAGGTCAGCTTGCAGAGGGGCTTTTTTATATATATATTTTCTTTTTTTAAGGTTTCATTTCAACTAACACTAAAGGAACTTTTATGACAGTCTCCTTGTTTTTGTTAAGTGCTGTGTACAGCTCAATGAATTCCAAGTACTGATAACATTAGCAAATATTTATTGTGTAATAGAGCCACACGTTGCGGTTGATTCTTGTGTGTGTTTGCTTGGCTGCTGGATGAGCAGGGGGTACTGGGCTTTCTGGAAAGCACAACAGGAAACTGAGTGGTTGTTTTACTAGGAGGTCAGGTACACATCCATGTCCCTGCCCGTGTGGATACAGCTTTAAGTAGAAACTGAAAGCAAACTGCTCTAGGGGAGAGGGAATTTCCTTCGCCAAAAAGCCACAGTGGCCAACAGTGCTGGTGCAGAGCATTTGTGACACTGAGGTCTCCGCCAGCGTTTTCCCTCTCCTTGTTTTTACTGTTCAGTGTGTCAGGATGTTTCAGCCGTTGGGGTTTGGTCACCTGGCTGTCGCTTGGTTTATAAGGCCTTGTGGCTGTGGGCTTCCTTTTTTCTGGTGGTGCTAGTGAAAGTGTACTTGTCCTGCCCGAGAGGCAGCCCATGGAATCAGTATATCCAGGTCTGTATTTTTTCTGCTGTTAGTGTTAGAGGTGAAAAGAAAGGGCATGGATTGCTTGGTGTCTCCTAATGTGCCATAAGAGAAGATGAGACTGCAATTCCCAGAGAACATTTAAAGCATGGGTTAATGAGGGCATCGTAGGCTGTTGCAAAGGTTCAGGATCTTGAATGGCCATGAACGTGGCAGCTGTGGCCTCTGCGTGAGGCCTGACTTGGAATGCCCTCTGTACCAAGGTGCACCCTCAGACGCACACCCCGCCCGAAGAGCAGGAGCAGGTAGCTTATTCCGCGGGCTGTATTCACACCTGTCGCACAACACATCTTATTCACTCACCGGAAATTACTGCTTTTTCAGTGAGTGGGTGAGCTTGGTGTTTTGTATTGTAACTTGTTGTTATGGTTTCTTTGGCATTTGGCTTTAGGAGTATTTTTCTTTTTTCTTTTTGGCACTTTGTGATACAGCTCTGCCTGCAGTGTTTTTTAGATGTCAAAAAAGTGAAGAATGTTTGTGATGACCCTGTCCCCAAGCTGCTATTTGCTCTCCTGTTACACAAGGCAAGAATATTCCTTGGGAATGTCTTTGCAGGATGGAGTCAGTCCTCTGTGAGAGTGTCAGTGCTCAAGCTCAGCAAGCGTATAAATATTTAAAAAGATGGATTGCTGCTTGTTAAACCTCTGGTACTAAAATTCAGCTGCCTTGAGAACTAGTGGCAGTCCTGAGACAACAAACTATCTCTTCCAGTGGTAGATTCAAATCTCTGAATAGAGAAGTTTTACCTACTTTGTTTCTTTCACAGATTTGTGGTGTGGTGACAACTGTTGAACCATGGCATTCCCCAAGATCTGGTATATTGCAGCCCTTGGATTTCTGCTGCCTTTTTCTTATGCCCATACGGACTTCTTCACTTCCATTGGTGAGACACTTTGGTGGATATTGCACATAGCTGAAATAGTTTCTTTACAACCTTCAGAAGTCATTCAGCAAGAAATAAGCTAGGGGAGCACTGGGTAGTAGTCAGCACAGAACGAAATCCATCTATTAGTTCTTATGACCTGTTTGACTTTTTACTTCAGGGAGAAATATCTTTTTGCTTAAGTCAGTTCAGTTAGTCGAGTGACAAAGGCAAGGGCTTGTATGTGTTATGTGCTCGTGTAGGTATTGAATTTTAGACAAAATTTCAGTCAGGACTATTGCATATGTATATAGGAAAGAGAAACAGCTATTCAGGTGGTACCGGTGTGTCAGCGTACCCCTTGCTGTGTTTTAATACCATAATGCCACATAATGCAACTGAAGACGTGAAGTTTTGTCACTTCAAAACCAACCTGCTCAGCTGCCTGCTCACAGGGAATGAAGGAATTATGAACTGAGAGACTGCTACAGGACCCGCTGAAGTCATGTAAATAATCTTAAAAATTTATAAATGGACTAATGTTGTATATCAAACGTGAAGCCTTCGTATATTTTTGTGGCTTTGTCATTATTTGCTCTACATTATGTATGCTCGGATGGAAGATTATTCAGTTGCAACCTACTTCCTTTTCCAAATGAATCCTAAATTAGTTCTAATAATAAATTTTGATAGTCTGCAAATTTCCATGGCAACCGGCTTTGTCCAACATCAGGTTTTCTTTTAAAAAGAAAGGGAAAAAGAAAAGAAAGAAGAGTAGGAAGTCTTATTCAAATGCTCCTTCGGGCATCTTAGAATGCAGAAGCACTGTGGGAGGAAAAAGAGTAGAAAGGAGGTTTTTGATTTTATTTTTTTATTTCTTCTCATCTAACCAACATGTTGACTTTTTTTCTAGGTCATATGACAGACTTAATTAATACAGAAAAAGATCTGGTAATATCACTGAAAGATTATATCAAGGCAGAGGAGAGCAAGCTGGAGCAGATCAAAAAGTAAGCAGTTTGTTTAATAATGCTAATAGTTAATTTCTTGAGCCCACCGTTAATGTAAAACTATTTACAAGGCTGACTAAATTTGAGGAATTTCGCCTCCAGGGCAAAGATTAACTAGCAGTTTTTGCTCTCTCTTCTTTTTTTTTGTCCTGAATTGTGATTTATTTTGTGCAGCTTTCTAATTATGAGCCAGTGATTTATTTTGTGCAGCTTTCTAATGGTGAAATCTCATTAGCTTGCTGTTCTGTATGATGACCACAATATGAGGATTCCTGGCTTGTAATTCCTCAAAAGACAAAACCATATAAATACAACTTATTTACTGCTTTCGAGAATAACTGAGAGCCCTGACCATTGCAGCTACTATGTTGCTCAGCTCTATAGTTCTGAGAGCCCAAACCCAAAATCTCCGAATTTATGAGAACTAGAAATAAGATTTTTGTTTCACTGAACTGAATGCATTCCTGGCTTTCAAAAGCGTGTATAAATATGTCATAAGGATGTCTAAAACGTTTGATAGATTAGAATTTCTTTTAACTTCTGTGGCTTACATTCTGGCATTTAAATTTGCAAGCCATGTAAGAAGAAAAATTATTTTGTCAAGCTGTTTATTTTTATCGTCTTATGTGAAATGCATGAGTTGGAATTGCTTGCAGGTTTGCAAAGTTTGGGGTTTCTTCTTTATAGCAACAAATTAAGGTGAGAGTGTGCAGATTGGACAACATATAAATAAAATTTATCCTATCAGTTTTATTGCTGTGAATTCATTATATTACAACTGTCAACTGTCAGGACAAAAAAAGTTACGATAACTGTCACAGAGATGGAAGAAACCGAGGAAGATGATCTCAGGCTCTTTTGCGACCTTTTTAGCTGAAAGATACTGGTTGTTTCTGTTGACTTAAACTCAGTGAAAGTTGAAGATTTGCTGAGATATGAGGAAGGTGCCTTCAGAATCAACTCAAAACTAATCTAGGTCTTGTGGTTGTGGGTTACAGCAGCAGTAACTTAAGGTACTCACTGGGTTTGATAGTCATACCCTGGGAAATTGTGCAGTTGATTTATTGAAAATTAGTTGAATTAGATTCCTTGAAATTAGTTTCTTCATTATCCAGCAGGTTAGAAGCTGGAATTGTTCCATGGGGACACTCTTTGCTTCAGATGTTGTTGACTGGAGGTGACACTATCCATCCATTTGTTGCTGACAAGAACCATGGGCTAGGGCTGTCAGAGGGAAGGGAAGTAGTTAAAAATTGCAGGGGATGATTGAATACAAACAGTAGTGCATTTTACAGTTGGAAAACTAAACACCTACCTGCTTTGGGTCAAGTATGCAAACTTAATTGGGCATACCAAGCTTTGGAGCAAGCTGATTGCCAGCCCCCATATAGAGTCCCCTGCAGGCTACAGATTCTATCTTGGCTTTACGTTGATATTGCTGTCTAGTGTTGTCTCTGGAGTGTGGCCGTTTAGAGTGTTGCTATGTCTCTGTTCTAGATCTACACCACCTTGACTAGGGCGGGTAGCTTGGCTGTCTTTCAAACGTAGCAAAGTGCTGCTGTTCTTGGCATGGCTGACTTACGACTCAAGTACATGGGCTGCTTCCACTAGCGCGACAGGCAGATGAACAGCAGTAGCTGTCGAAAATTTTGCTTATTTCACACAAACACAGAATGGCCGAGGTTGGAAGGGACCTCTAGGGATCATCTGGTCCAAGCCCCCTGCTCCAGCAGGAAGGATTGGAGCTGTTAAGGGCTCGTGTTGCTGGAGAGTTGGGGAGTTTGCCGAGTCAGAGCTGGAGCATCACAGGATTCACTGGGGCTTCTTACTGAGGAGCACAAGAGCTATGTTTGATTTTTAATACAGCTTTATAATACAGAAAGCCGTTCTGTGGTGGGAGATGAGGGGCTTAGAACAGATTTGAGAGTGTCTTAAAACAGTTCAGGTCATGTGTTTTGAATTACCTTTGTGTAAACTTTAGAAAAGTGCATTTAAAAATAGATAATCAAAAATGTGGGTAAAGCTTTGTGTTTGATTAGTCCTGTGTGAAAACTCATGGATCTGCTGGCATGCTGCATTTAATAGTTGTAGGAGGGAGTTCTTTCCGCAGTGTTCCAGCAAGAGCAGCGCTAATTTAAAAGACAGGTTGCAGCTGAGGATTGTTTCAAAAACAAAAGCAACCTTGTTGCTACTTCTGGAGCAGCTTTGCACATAAGATATTATAAAAGCCTGCACTTTTATATTGTGATTTTTACTAGCCAAGTGTTGAGTAGTTCTGTAGTGCAGTGGAAGACTTCCAAGTGAAACTATAATTAGTGCATCTTTTCACCACAGATGGGCAGAAAAATTAGATAAGCTGACAGATACGGCTACAAAAGACCCCGAAGGATTTTTGGGCCATCCTGTAAATGCATTCAAGTTGATGAAACGGCTTAACACGGAGTGGAGTGAGCTGGAGAACCTGGTTCTGAAGGACATGTCGGATGGTAAGTGTGCCTGCAGTAAAAGCAGCGGTTATATTGTAAGCGCACTTATTTTGACTTACGTTTTTCATGTGTCACAGGCTGAACTAGCCTTTTAGCTCTGTTTTTACGGTGCCTTCATTAAAGCACACTAACATCCTAGAAGATCTGCTACTTTGCTGTCCAAGTACTGTAATTTGAGCACAAAAAAAATATACAAAACTGTGACCTTCAGAGTGAGCCACCTTCATAGAGGCTTTAAATTTTGCAAGAGATCAGGAGTGCCTCATCTGTTCTTCACTGCCATATAATCTACTCTAATAGAGAGTTTTACCTCTAAATTTTTACCTCTAAACGAGTATCTCTCTTCATCCTGAAAAATAAAGTTATTTCTATGGAAGCATCGCTGTCAAACCTCTTTGAAACCCTTGATTTAAGTTAAAAGCAGAAAAGGGGTGGGGAAAAAAATACTTTTCAAGTGCAAGGCATCTGAAGCGTGGAGCGCTGTGGCTGCTGGTGTTATGGCTGCCTGGGCTTGTTAGGGTGCAGCAGTGTGAAACCTGAATGTTGGCAGAGTCTGAGGGTTTATGAAACTGATAGGAGTTAGTGCTAGCTGCACTTGCTGCCTTTTTCCCTCAGCAAGAGTGGAAGCTCTTTGCTATCAAAGAGGACGTGAAACAGCAGGTGACCGTGGAAGCAACTAGGAGTTTTGGACAATTTTTTGATCTATAGGAATCTGTGTCAGCAACTGATACCAGGTGCAGGTTTGTAGTAAGAAAATGAAACAAGCAGAGCTTTCAGGGGGAGAAAGAAAAGCAGGCAGGGATGGGCACTCTCTTAATAAGAATTCAGCATGTTCAGCTTCACAGTTGTTGCTGTGGGAGACTGAATGTTCTCATTGAAAAGGCTCTTCACCTTCTTACCGATGGATCTTAAGCCCTTCTGTTTTTTTTTTTTTTAAAGACCATTTTATGAAAATTGTCAGGAAAAGGGAAATATTGAGGGAAATGTAATTGTGGAAAATAAAGGATGCGCATGAGTGGAAGAAGATTGTTTATGGCAAGGTTTCCTGATTCAAAAGAAAACTGAAAGTGTTAAGAGGTCAGAGTGGTTAAAAAGGTCTATTAAATGTGGCAGAAATGACAGATTCAGCCAGGTTTTTGTTTTGTTTTTGTTTTTAGTGGATTTGCAGCTAAGTTCAGTGTATTACTCTTTGTTGCTTGGAGCTACATTTGTTTGGTTTTGATTATGCCGCTTAGTTTCCAAACTGGCGGATATTAGAAGCACTTGATAGACATCTTAGTGGTACCATCCTTAGAATGGTAAAGTTATAAAGCCTGTTGTACGTCTAAATCTCGGGACAAAAGAGTTTGTCAAGGAGAAAAGTTGCTTCTAGGAGAATGTCTGACAGACACCCGGACACTTTCACAGCAGTAACTTTTCCCCTTGGCAAACCCTTGTGCTGATTCCTCATGTCAGGACACTTGTTTTGCCTTCCTCCCAGTGACCTCCTGTTTGGCAGAGCTCTCTACCTCATCAGTCAGTGCAAACAGCTCCTCAGCTCCTTGCCTCCGGAGAAGCAGATGATCTCTTCTCTCATCAGTCTGGCAAAGAAAGGCTGAATATTGATACTGGACTGTTTTGAAATGCTAAAAGGAAGATTCTTAGACTTGGAGAGAATCTCAATAAATTGGGAGGAATCATGGACCTTTAGGTGCTTGTGGGATCTGCAATCAACTTAAATGGTGGTAGGGTTTCACAGGAGATGTTTATGTGCAGGCTAATGTGATTCCCAGAGAGAATATTGTACTGCTATGTGGAGCCTTCTTTTTATTCTCCAGTTTTCACCCTAACACCCGCGTCAAAAGCAAATGCAGGCAAACAGATGACTAGGTTTTCCTTTCGTTGTTCCTTTGCTGTCTTTTCTGAAAACAGGTGAAATGCCAGCAGTTCCACACGTGCCTCTGCCTGGATTTGGAGGTTTGTGAAAATGAGAGGCTTTTTTGAGAAATCTCTCTAATTTCAGATGTTTCTCAAGTTTGTGTGTAAATATGTTAATCACATGTCCACGTCGAAAAAATCTATTAGGTTCCTAGTGCTAGCAGGCCTCTCAAAAGCGCTTTGGGGGTAGATGGCTGCATTTGTTTTCATCTTCATATTGACCAGCCTTGGATCTTTGCACAGTTATTCCTTAGACTGTTTTGTTCTGTCGTAAATTATTTGCATGTTATTGAACAGAAAACCTTTTGGAAGAAGGTTGAAGTGGAACAGTTAGAGAAGTCATCAGCACAGAATCTGTAGTATTCCCTATGTAGTGGTGATGTTTTTGTTGTATGTAAATTTATTATTTAATTATTTATTTTTAGAGTAGGGAGTCATTTCTTAGGACAAAAATTTCCCAAATGTTTCCCGTTTTCCTCAGGCTTTATCTCCAACATGACTATCCAGCGGCAGTTTTTCCCAAATGATGAGGATCAGACTGGTGCTGCGAAAGCTCTCCTGCGGCTCCAGGACACATACAATTTGGATACAGACACCCTCTCCAGAGGCAATCTTCCAGGTAAGGGTCCATCTGCCTTGTTTCCTGAAGACACTTGTGAACTTGCTAAAAGTCCTGACCACAAAGTCTGTGAGGACTTTTCCTCTCGTGTAGTTGTGTGCTGTGAAGGAAACAGTAGGAAAGCGTTTGAGCTGGCTAATAATTTGAGAAGTGGCGTGGTGTGGGTAACCAAATACAGGCTGACGTGGGTGTAATTTTTAACCCTGGCATGGGTCAGGAGAGAGCCTGTTGCTTCAGACTGATGTGCTGCAGAGGAACCCAGGGAGACCTTGACATGTCGGCAGGTCTATTCTTGCCATTGTCCTCTTGCAAGGTCATTTCTTGGCTTGGCTGCTTGCTGGGCATTCTGTTGCTAGCACATGATCTTTCGTTTATCATTCATTGCTGCTGTCCTCGCAGGGGTAAGAGGGACCCTTTGGGTTGGGAATTGTTAAGTGGCTTAAGCTTCGTAGACTAAACTGGGAGGAAAAACAGTAGCACATGTTGCACGTACCAAACACTTGCGCCTAGGGGGCTTTACCTGAGAGAATCTTGAACAGATTGTGGGAAGGAGAGGACACGCTCCTTTTTTGTTGGAAACTACAACTTTTACTGCTGCATTGCTTATTGTTACTGCTTTGCTCTTTTTGACATCCTGTGTTACAGGTTATGTTGTTTCTTTATGTCACTTACCAGTGCTATTTGATTATTACTGTTTTAAGCACTCTTTTAAGATTTATTTTCATCTCCAGACACTAAGCTTCTCCTGCAGCTGTTACTGATCCCAGAGGATCCCTTTGTGCCCTTCTTTACCTTAACTTTACCAGATTATCTGATCTTTGCATTATCCTAAAGTCTGCTCGTATCTTCAGCTTTAAACGCTTGAAATAGGATACAGGGAAAATCACAGGTGTTTAATTAATGAGCAGAAACAAAGTTGTTCTGTGGGATACTCCTTTTTGTGGACTTGCTGCTATTTAATCTCTTAAGGTTTTCCTTTAATAGAAAATTACACCTGCTAAAAGACAGCTTTGGGAGCTGGTGTTAGAAATTGAGGATTTATTATGTAGTTAAGAATATAATGTTAGCGGTAAACCTGGCAGAATTGTGGGCAAGAAGAAAAATTGCTTCTGTGCTTGAGTTTCCCTTTTCATTATTTTGTAGATATTTTGGTTCCTTCTTACAAGATTTTAATTTTTTTTTTCCAGTGGGTCGTAATTTATAGTGGCAAAAATAGGAATCTATAATTTGCTTACTGGAGCTTTAATCTCAGAAGTCCTTTCACATGTTTCTAAAAATGATTTACTCCATAAGCTTCAGCAGCTGGGTTTTTACTGACTGCTGTTTTTTTTCTCCCCACTAAGTATTCTAGTAAGATGTTCTTCAGCAGCACTTTGAAAGCAAAATCTTTGGAAACTGATTTCTTTAGCTTCATATTGGGGTCACTTTTGTTCCTGCTCAAAGCATTTGTGATTTGGGGAAAGAGGGTGTTTGGTTTTTCGTTTGTTTATGATTAAGGAAGTAAATAAAGATCTTGAAACTGTTTGCTGGCATTTTGGCAATGAAAAACTATGTGTAACCACTTCTTTGTTCTGCCATGGGATTTACAGGCTTGAAATATCTGAACAGGGGCTGCAACAAGTAGCCCCCGCGCAGAAGGCAGATGTTTAAGAGTAGAACCTGAGCAGAAATAAGCTGTGCTGTGCTGCAGAGGGAATAAAGGAAGGTTGCTCTGAAGGTCTGTCTAGATTTCTGTGTCAAATCTGCTGTTCTGTTTTTCCTTCAATGTAGGTGTAAAGCACAAGTCGTTCCTAACGGCTGAAGACTGCTTTGAGCTGGGCAAGATTGCCTATACTGAGGCCGACTACTACCACACGGAGCTGTGGATGGAGCAAGCTCTGAAGCAGCTGGATGAGGGCGAGGTCTCTTCCGCAGACAAAGTCTACGTTTTAGACTACCTGAGCTACGCCGTGTACCAGCAAGGGGATCTGAGCAAAGCGGTGACGCTCACCAAGCGCCTCCTGGAACTGGGTATGTGCAGAGATCCCGGCTCCGCATGATCCACCGCCGGGATCCAGCAGGTTTTAGCTGCTGAGTCGGACAGAGGAATTTCGGTCTTGCATTCCGATTTGTACATTTTGAAAATTTATTATTGATATCAGGGTTAACATCTTGGTGTTGTCCTCAGGCTTACACTACCTACCATATACCCTATTTTACTACCATTTGAAATGGCAAATTACAGTCTAAACTACAGTGTCCTAGTTAATGATTGCTCCCTTCTGTTCAAATATTTTTTGCCTCCTGTCACTATTGGATTCTAATGAGTGATTTTAGTCATTAGTGTCTGAAAGGGGTTTTCTACTCTATTTTCCTGAACTTTAGAATAGGCTAGGAAAAAATGAATGGAATTTGAAACTAAGTTGATAATACCTCATTCTCTGCAAATATCTATTTAGATGCAAAGTGATTACACATGAACTAGAAGGAAAAAAAAAAAAAAGGAAAAATAAGAAATACAGAATGCAATGCAATGAGTTAAAGCTCTGTCCATCTAACAAAGTATCAAATGCATTTGTATTTCTGTAAATACTCCACTGTGTGGAAGATGGGAAGTTTAGAACCAGATCTAACTGTTTGACAGCAATGGCTTGAGAGAGCCCTTTATTAAAAACTAAATTGTGTAAGTAACTGTTAGAAGTCTTGTCCGTAGCAATCTCAATTCCCATCAGAACCACTGTTTGGTGTCCCAGCGTTCTCCCTGTCCATTCTGATTTCCCCATCCCTCCCTCTCCGCTTGTATTGACCAGAATGACCACAGTCCGTGTCTTCTCCTATATATTTTCTTTCCTCTATGTATTTTCCTGGTTGTAAATAGCCTCTCCTGCTTACTTCCTTACCTGGGCTTCTTGTCCCTTTCTTTGTCAATAGATCCTGAACATCAAAGAGCAAATGGGAACATGAAATATTTTGAATATATCATGGCTAAAGAAAAAGAAGCAAATAAATCTACTACGGAATCGGAAGACCGGGCGGAGAAGGAAACTGAGGTTAAGAAAAAGGACTACCTGCCTGAGAGAAGGAAGTACGAAATGCTGTGCCGTGGGGAGGGGCTCAAAATGGTAAAGTGGACTAAAACAGTTGACTGTTTTCAAATATACAAAAGCAACATAACCAAGCGTTGTTTGAGTTTGTATGTGGCCGGGAAGCAAGGAAGCTGCTGTAGCACTTGGCTGAGAATCTAGAGCTGAGGATTAGTGTGTGCTGGATTCCTTCCCTGCTTCATCCATCCAGTAAAGAAAAAATAATACCCCCCTAGACACAGCTGAGGGGCTGAGTGAGCCAGGGAATGCACTTGGCAATTGCAGTTAACTGAGCAAGTAGACTGCAGTGTGGATTTACGTGTGGTGTTAAATGAGTTTGGTGGTTTTCTTCAGCAGTGAGATTAGTTTTATTTTACAGGATTTTATGCAGGTAGGTACATGCATAGCTGAGTGCTGCTTGTTGCACCATTACAGAATAACGGTCATTTGCTTAAAGTACTGTTTTCTCAAAGTATCTCTTTGACCAGTTACACAAAAGTTAATCGTTCCCATATCTTGACCTCCAGACATTTAGTATTCTGTAGAGACATTAGAGTTATATGGACGTCTGATTATCTCTTGCTCTGTCATGCTTTCAGACCCCACGGAGGCAAAAAAGACTCTTCTGCCGCTACTACGATGGAAACAGGAACCCTCGGTACATCCTGGGTCCTGTCAAACAGGAAGATGAGTGGGACAAGCCCCGAATCGTTCGGTTCCTTGATATCATCTCCGACGAAGAGATCGAAACTGTGAAAGAGCTCGCGAAGCCCAGGGTAAATGCCTAGCATTTGTTGGCCTCTTGCAGTCTTGAATTGTGCGTGCAGTGGCAAGTGTGAGTGTGCACGCGTGTGCGCGTGGCTCCACGTCCTCCTCGGCGCCGTGCCTCGTGCTTCCTCTCCCCATAGCTCTTGGAGACGTGCTGGTCCAAGGGGCTCGTGGGAAAGCTGGCCGTCCTGTGCAAGGGAGAGCGCCAGCAGTCCAGCCTTGCCGGGCTCTTCTAGAAGAGCTGCTTTCCGCGTGCGGTGTTTGAGAGCAGGAGGAGGCTGCACCGGGACACGCTGCAGCCAGGCTGCCTCCAAACGCACCCAGCACCTGGGCGTTTGGCATGTTGGGGTTTTCTCAATTCTGAATTGGCACAGCCGCCAAGTGCAGAAGTCTCTTTTGGTCTTTTGGTTTGAACTTACCTGGGGGTGAAAGAGCTATAGTGAGGTCGTACTTAATCATTGGCACTCAGCTGCTTATTCACAATTTCAGCGTATCAATCTTAATAGTTGAGGAACCAGATTCAAAGGTTCGTGTTTCTGAATTAAAAATAATACAGCTCAACTGTGAGAATGTAGCAAAGTGTCAAGATGAAGGAAAAAAAACAAAAAACAGACTGACTTGCCTTCTGTATCACCATGGTTTGATGGTTCAGCTCCAAATGTGCATTTAAGATACAGACAAGTTGATTTACTTTGTCAGTTGCCACTTCTAAAATGATATTTAAACTTTTCTAAATGATTTCCCTGCTGTTTTTAGCCTAAATGGCTCCTTAGTCCAGAGAAAGCCAAGCAGGTGTAGGTTAAAACACGTACCTTAAGTATAGGACGAACTGTTAACTAGATCTGTTATGAATTAAAACAGACGTGTGTTAAACGCGGACACATGAATCGTGAGGCTCTCCTAGGTCACAGCCCTGAGTACTAGGTAGACAAAGGTGAATTTCCAGCTTGGTAAAGGCTGCTGCATTGTATTTGTGAAGTAACATCTTGAACTGTGAGAAAGTACGAAGAATTCTCTTCATCTACCCCTCAAACATCTCTGTTTGCGGATCTGCAAGCCAGAGCGCCAGTGGTTTGACACTTAAACTGCTTTTTGATGCGGAAAAGCCCTGGCCTTATGTCTCAGGAATATTCCTAAATCATTTCTTTATGGAATAGAAATAAACCTCAGCGCTGAATGCAGAACAACTGCCTAATACAGGACCATGCAGCAGATTCAAACTTCTGAACCTGCCTAGGTAATTTTTATCTCACCCGCTCACAAGTATCCCGGGATGCTACCCAAGCTGGGGAGATGCCCTGTACCCATGGAGCGATGGGGAAGGGCGAGGCCTGGAGGCACAAGGGCCGCGAGGGCAAGGTGGCCGTCGCCTCAGTAAAGGCAGCAGTTGGCCGCGGCCGGCGGGTGCAGGGGAGCTAACCCAGTGCTGCCGTGTGTGAGGGAGGAGGCAGCAGGGTAGGGATCCTTAATCCCAGTCCCTTCACACAAGATCCATGGTTCCATTTAGCTGTTAACAAAGGGTCAGTTGTGCAGGTGTCCTCTCCTACAGCTGCCCTTCACACATAGAGCAAATGTAAGTTTCTAGCTGTTCCTCTTGCTCCAGAAATGGAAATGTTACTTCCTGGAAAACTCAATTTCCTCTAAGAGGCTGTTAAAACTTTTAGTAAAATTGGCGACTTCCCCTTCCTACCCATCAGGGCTTGTGATTTGTTCATTTGTTTGCCCCCCATACAAGAGGCACCACCTGGGAAGGTGACAGGGTGGCTCGCGCGGCAGCTTGTGTGGCGTTTCCGGAGGCTTCTGAATGGTCGGATTGCTGCGATGCCCTATGTGCTTTGTAATGCAACTATTCTGATGGTTCGCTTCACAGCTGAGGCGAGCCACCATTTCAAACCCCATAACAGGAGCCCTGGAGACGGCACACTACAGAATTAGCAAAAGGTAAGAGAGCTCGGTGCCCGATGTCTTGGGCCTCTAATGAGTGTGCGGATCCTGCTCAAAATGGGGAAAGAGGTGGTCTAAAAAGGCAGCTTTGGCTTTGCAGCCCACCACTTCACTGTACGCAGATCCTGTAACAGGCTGTTACTGCTGAGTTCCTCAGTCTCTTCCTTCCGCTGTAAGTTCTGGAGTTGTGTTTTGACTGCTAAAAAAACAAAATGGAATAAAAAGTCACCTTCTCGGGGAGTGTTCTCAATTAACAGTCTGCACAAGGAGCAGGTCTCTTAAATGCATTCAATGTACCAGACACCCAGAGGGACTAAACCTTCAGCAGAACCTACCTCTCAAATTCCTTTCCCTTGCTGTCAACATCAAGGAAAACCTGTCCTCCTGCTTGCCAAGTGGAGCAGACCGCTCCTGAAGTGCCTTTCCCTCTGCAGGAGGCGCCTCGAGTCACTGTCCCATGTGGCCGCTGGATTGGCTGGCAAAGCACGCGCTGAATTCCGTGCTCCAGGATAGCTCCTTAGCCCTCTCTGGGCTTGTGCCTCCTGCTGACGCAAAGTTGGCAGAAAGCAGACTTCCTTTTCACTGGACTCATGGGTCTGTCCAGCTGGCCCGTGAAGTGCTGCAAATCTGGCATTTGGCTGCTGTTTTCCACACTGTGCTTCAGCAGAAAGTCTGGCTAGCTTGAAAAGAAGCTATTCCTTCCACCCCCAGTTTTGGTAGTGCTGATTAAGGTTCAATCGAGGCAAAATTTTCAAAAAAGTGGAACTTCTGCATGAAGAGGAATTGTCTGTGAAACTCAGCATCATGACCTATTTGCAGAAAGACTCTGAAAAGAGAAAAGAACAAGAAAGGAAAAAGGAGAAAAAAAAAAAAAGTGAAAGGACAATCTAACCAAATTCTTCCAACCAATTTGATTTGGAAATGGCAGCTACAGCTTCTGTTGCCCTTCTAATATTGCTAATCTGGGAGCGCTGCACACCATCCAGACCAATCGGAACCCGTTCAAACACCCTGGCTTGGCCTACGAGGGGGGTAAGCCCTTGTCCTTTCTCTTTTTGTAGCTGAGCCGAGCTACTGTGCATGACCCTGAGACTGGGAAACTGACCACAGCCCATTACAGAGTCTCTAAGAGGTAAGGGAGCGTCTTCGACCGCCCCGGCATCGCTTCACCGCTCACGGGGCAAACGAGGGGCTCTTCCTCTGCAGAGCGAACCGTCTCCATGACACGAGGGATCTGCTGCAGCAGGAACTGGTTCTAAGCGTTAACTATTTTTTAGCTGAAATGGAAGCTTTTGCTCAGCATGGCCTGTGCGAGGCAGCTACTGTACTAAACGTTGTTGGCTCTGCTTGCACTAACGGTCGGGGAGGGCTGTGTGTCACCCGCGCTGCTACATTTAGTGTTGATACTAGCACCGCGGGCTGCTCCAATCCATGGGCAGAGAGCAAGTTACTGCTAGCTGGCAGCTCTAGTAACGCTCGGGGACTGAAAGCAGTTGCTGCTTTAATAGGGAAATGTAGTGCTCGTTGAATTGATTATTTGTCACCTGCCTCCATTTGAAATGCCAGTCAGTTAAAGGAGTACATAATGCTCTTTGCTCCCTCAGGGACGGGTGCAGGTCGGGCTGTCTGCCAGCCCCACTGGCCGCTTGAGAGACCTTGCAGAAAAAAAAAAAAAAAAAATTCCTCCTCTGAAGGAATGACTCCCTCTCGGGACCCAGCTGCAGGCTTGGCCTGGCCTAGCATCTGGGCGGTCACATACAGGAGCACGTGCGGCAGGTGAAGTGCTGCGAGCCCCGCGCAAAGCCTGGTGTCTAGTTCCTGGTGAAGAAGAGCCTTAGAACTACTGTGACTGGCCGGCTTTGGTGCTCGAAAGGTGCCAGTCAGGGACTCCCTCCAGAATGAAAGCAGACTGTGTTGGGCTGAGTGTTTCTTTATCTCGTTGGAAACTAGAATTGGGTGCGCAAGTCAGCGGGTGTAAGAAGTTACTGAGAAGCTAGTGAGGGAGCTTTCTTGAGCAAGGGGATTGCCACAGGGCTGGGAGGAGGGAAAACTTTTCCCGTGCCTTGACTTTGCCTTGTGGTCCAGCACGTACTAATTCTTCAGGAGCTGAATACTTTGACAGCTAAAATAGCAATGAGAAATAAACCCCACCCCATGAAAAACCCCAAAGCCCAGGGCAGACAGCCTCAGAAAAATCATGTTATTCATGCGAGATCACAGAGGTCTCTCGCAGAAGCACTGCGAGCTGCTTGAGCTGGTTTGGATTCCAGATGAATCATTGCTCCTGAAAACCAAAAAATGCTTTATTTTTTTAATAGCTTACTGCTTCCCCTTTCAAACATTCTTTCCTAGCACATGCACGTCTAAAGCACAGTGCTGCTCGCTCTGAGAGCACGACTGTTCCCTGCACAGTACGTGGCAGCCTCTCCGAAAGGGGCACCCTGCCAGCAGGACAAGGAGCTGCGGCCGAGCCCCGCCGAGCTTAGAGCCAGGGCAGACACGGCCGCTCAGGCGCCGCTCCCTGCCCTCTCCTCCAAGGAGCAGCTTGCAGCTGCACCTCAAGAGTTTGCACCGTGTCAATGCCAGCCTGGCAGCTCGTCCAGCTGCTCTTGCCTCTCTGCTAAATCTTTTGCAAATTAAATATATTTTAGAATATGCAGGGCTTTAGTTCCTGTGACCCAGCACCACAGTGTAGCTGTGACGAAGGCCTTGGGTCTGGCCTTATGTTCGTGACCAGCTTCAGGCACGCGAGCCCATGGGTGGCCTGTGGTTGTCTGATTTTTCCAAACAATCTGACTAGTCTAAAATTATTCCTACATGTAGCTCTTTGTTTGTGGGCCCTTACGCTATTAAAAGTTAAAACGGGATCTCTGATGCAGAGTTTTTAAGAAGGGAGCTAATACATTTTAAAAAGCAAAAGCCCAGCTGCTCATACTGAACATAAAAACTTGCTGCCAGGTATTGCTGTGAGGAGGGGAAAAAAAGAAACCCCACAGTGTGTTCTCAGCACTTGAGTTCTTTCCATTTCTATAAAATGTTAGTTTAGCTCATGGCTGTCTGTTGGGGCATTGTAGTCTTCGGGATTTTTGGGCTGTGATGTGGGAGGTTTTAAAGAAATGTCAAATCTCTAGTAAGCAGTGTCCTCGTGCTCGAAGCTTAAATGGGTTTGGCTTCCCCAGGGAATAAGTTTGTCTCTTTTTGTTAAGTTTTCTGGTCGCGGTGGAGCCATGGGTGTCCGCAGTCAGAAACGCAGCAGGACGCACGGCTGCTGTGCAGTTGAAGTGCCTTGCAGGACCTGCTTTTGCCTTCTCCCGCCAGTGTAACGTAGGAGCGTGGCGCTTAATGCTTTCCTGCACTAACAGTACTTAGAAGCAGGTGGCTCTTCGCATGTGTTTGCATGAGTCTGGCCTGAGGAGTTTTAGTCCTTCTAAGTAGAGCATTCGTGTCATTTAAAAAAATCCATGCTCGTAGAGATTCTGTAACCTGTGTCAGTGCCTTGTGTCAAGTGTCGTGCTACTGCTCCTCCCATGCAAAATGTTCCATTTTTTTTTCTTTTTTTATTAAGAATTACATAAAAACAAAAAATGGCATTTGGTATAGCAGTGGGTAGCAGTACCATGCTGTACTTGCCTGCTGAGGTCTGAGGCCAGGTGTGTTTGTGGAACAGCCGGATCTGCTGGCAAGTCCAGGGCCAAGTCTTGAGGAAAGGCAGAAGCAGCAGTCTCCGGCCTTCTGCAGAAAGGGAAAAACGGGCCAAAGTCACTGCTGTTATCGAGAGCAGCAAACGGACTGCCACGCTGAACAGGGATGAGCAGGGAGGAAGGGAACATGCACAGAGAAAGGTGGTGAAGCAAACCCAGGTGAAACAGGTGCGCGGAGCTAGGGGAAGAAAAAAGAGGGAAGAAAGAAAAGAAGCATCCTGTGAGCAAAATGTTTTTGTTTGTTTTTAAAAAGAAAAACAAGCATTGCTTACCCAAAATACCCATTAAATCCCCAAACCCTGGAGTAGGCTGTTCTGGTGCAGCTTGCGCACAGGGTAGACGGTGAAGGGCTTTCTGCCTCGCTTGCTGCCCTCGCTGCTGTTCAGCCCTCGCTGCTGTTCAGCGCTCGCAGTTGGGTGCCCCGCCAGCTCCCAGAGCACACCCGCCTGCGAGGGGTGACACGGGAGAGCCGAGCTACGACCATGGCAGCCCTGGGCACTGGCGGGAGGTGCCTGCCCCACTCCGAGCGCTGCGTCCTAGGTGGCTGCGTCGAGAGCAAAGCCGGGGTGTCCCAGTGCTAGGAAAGCGCTTGGAGCAAACGTCACCATGTGCAGTGGGGTTTGCTCAAGCATAAGGTCGTTTTTCTTCAGGCCTTTGATAGTTCCCAGTATGCCAAGTTAGGCCCTAGTGCTACATGTGTTCATTGTAGAAATCACAGCTTATTAAATGCGCTTCTCAGTAAGGACCCTGAAAATACTTCTGACCTACTTTTTTTTTTTTTTTTTTTTTTTTTTTTTTTTTTTCTAAAAGCTGAGGAAAAATTTCAGATGAGAAGCAATTCTGAACAGTATGTCTGTACTGGTAGCTTGTTGCCTATTATGATATGTTGTATTAATTTTTTTTCTCCTTTTTAACATAGTGCTTGGTTGTCTGGCTATGAAAGCCCCGTGGTCTCTCGCATTAACACAAGGATACAGGACCTAACAGGCCTTGATGTCTCCACGGCTGAGGAGCTGCAGGTAACCACCGCAACCAGCGTGAGGGCCACGGCCCTGCCGTTCCGGCTGATGCTGTGTGCAGTGTGGACCCCCCAGGCACAGCGGGGAGGGGGCACAGGCACTGCCCTGGTGCAGGGCCAGCACCTTTGTAACGGGTCTCATCCAAGCTTGGCCAAGGACAGCTCTGAGTGTTACACAGCATCCTGGAAAATCAGGCCTTTGCTTTGTCACTGAGGTGCGAGAGGCCTTGCCCTTGCTGGACAGATGCTTACTGAAGCGCAAGCAACTTGGCATAGCTTTTAGTATACTAATAAAATCCAGTTTTGTTAGGGCATGGTCAAATTTTGCTTCTGTGATAATAGTTTAGCTGGACTCATGTTTGAGGACATGGGGTGGTTCTGATTTGCCATCACTGCTGTAGTCCTAAAAGGGTGATGGTGTGTCCA